AGGAATTACATTGTCAAATTTCACTGAAGTGGAACCGCAGAAGAAAAATTGACTCCTATAGACTACTGATGGGAAATCAAGATTTTTTTTTTGTTGTTGTTGTACTGGAAATTCCATTGAAGCAACACTCGTTGAAGCAGGGTTGGACTGTAACTTCAGTATTTGGCTTCCACTGAAACACCGATGCCGAAATTTGACCCCCCCCCCCCCCCCCCCCCGACCTTTGGGTGAGCAGTGGAGCACCATGACCCCCAGACCATCGCGGTGGTTAAACAGCAATGCGACAATGTCTACCTGTAGTTGGTTTTTCACATACACTTAAAGCCCGTTAATTCGGACTTCACGGGACCAGAGAGAATTTTTAAATTAAGGGGAGACGCTCCTCGAAAAAGGTTTTTTTTTTTTATTTCTAGTAATAGAGACTTGAAAAGTTTGTTATTAGTATAGTTTTTCATGCAGATTTCAAATATGCAATCATTTTTTGTGTAGCTGCTATAATTATTGAGTTATGCCATAAACAATAGCAAAAAGTTACATTTTTTGCGGGCACTCTTTTATGTACTAAACTTTCAGTAAAAGCACTGTGTCTGATCTTATTTGACTCTTGGTAGATTGAAAAGTGCAAATATCTATATAGATATGTCAACGAAATATTGGAACCAAGAAAAAAAAAATTGTATTGAATGACTTATTATTTTCACTTCCTTGAAACAATAAGCTAATATTTTCACAACTAATGCTGGTAGGCATTGCAATTTAGAGTAGATATTTGCATTCTGCATGTGTTGAAGAATATGTGTGCCAAGTTTCGTTACTATACAATGAATATAAGTTTCTAAAAGGCTGCTCGGAAAACGTGAAACTGTCAGAAAAAATGAAAATGAGAAAAACAAGTTTGAAAGTTCGCAAAGTTGGCATTTATTATGAAATCATTCTTTTTGCATCAAATTGGGGCACAATGAAAAGTACCTTGCCTTGAATGCACTGCAAGTGTCTAGAAGTCCCCTGCACCATAGCTTGGTCCTTCACGGCTCTTGCGGTCAGTGTCCTCAACACGAGCTCTATTCGCTGTGTTGCGACGGTGTGCCCTCGCTTTTGCAGTTTGCTTCAGGTTCATCTTCCTGATGCGCATGACGTCACAGTGGTCACCATGTGTGGTCAGATCTTGTGAGGGGAGAATTCCAATGCCTTCGAGCACTTCTTCAAAGCCCCTGTGGCCTTTGTTGTACCAGAGTACAGCAAGAGCGGTGGCTGTCTCCACAGTTGTTCTGGAGGCGAACTTTGTTTTTGGACATAGCAGCCATATCTTGCTGTTCAGCGATTCGGCTGCATTCTGTGTCTTGCCATGAAGGCACCGAATAAGGAGTTTCTCCTCTGTAAGGCGCTTGTAGATAGGCATAATTGCCAATCCTTGAGCCTTCGTCAACAGTGAGGTGTGGCGTGGTGCAGGCTCCCCCAGTGCTTCCGCACGCTTGTGCTTGCACCACGAATTTGGTCCCGCGGGGCAAAAGTTGTGGCTACTGGCACCATCACTAGAGCAGCAATGAAAATACGATGCCCATATGGCAGTGTACATATTTCGAACACTGTCCTTGTTGCTCGTGATGGCGATCTTGCAATATGTTTATAGTTTTATTATTGTCGCATCTTTCAGTTTTTCGCCTCGTGGCAGTGGCGTTGCCAATTTCCGTAGGGCAGTTCCCAAGCGCTTTGCAACGTGGTTCGTGCACTCTTCATTGTCAATGGGGGTGTCACAGTATACATTTGCCTCGCAGACTGCAGTGTAGGCCTTGCTGTTACCATTACTTAGGAAGCTGGTGAATCGCAGTGGAGTTTCATAAGACAAGGTCCTCTGCCATATATTGACAGCTGCCGCAGGTTCCATTGCATGGGATGAGCAGTCAGTGTTTTTTTGGCAAACTGGAAGATGAAAAGCTCGCCATATCTCTTCATCCTCCCCAACAAGGTCCCTGTGTATACTGCAAGCATGGCAGTAGTTCGAAAGAACTTCAAAATCGAGGCAGAGCCCCGTGTCCAGGGACACGACTGTGCCCACTCCATTGTGGCTTTTATGACCTCTTTTCTGCCAGGTGCCATCAAACATGACTGGCACATCTCTGCCGCCGACTGCGTCCTTCGTGATGTTTCGTGCCTGGTGCAAGTTTTTGCTCACTGCCGTCATCGCCGCACCATGGAGCTTCTTGCAAATGCCGTTGAATGTCTTGTGATGCATCGGGCTCGGAAGACGCAGCAAAGCTGTCACGCGAGCTGCCGCTGTCAAAACGAGCGCTCGTTCCTTGGTCCCCGGCCGAAGCAGTACGTCTCGACGTGTGCGTGAACGAAAGTGCAGATTCAGGGCAATCAGAATTTTGACAGCACAGTTCGAGGAATGCCGAAAGTCCTTTGCGCTTTCCAGCTGCCTCTCGCACGCCGAGCTTCCATTCGCGGCAAGTTGGGCATTGCGCACCCGCCACAAGTGCCGTCAGCGCATCGATTTCGCAAAGCAGCATGTTCGCAGTAGCAGCATCTATTGGTCTACGTTCACTCTCGAAGAATCCAATCTTCCTTTGGGATGCACTGACGAATTCCACGGCAGCGGCTATTTCACAACCACTGTCGCAGGGTTCGGTGACGGTGTTAGGCCTATCCGAAGTCGGAGCGTCGGGGCGTTGGTCAGGGGCGACATCGTCGTTCGCTGTCGCTTTGCGAAGCGTCCGACGCCGTTTCCCTCGATACTTGTGGCGAGTTCTGAACTTTCGATTATCTGAACTGCACTTCTTCGGGCTTGCCATGACGCAAAAATGCAGAGAAACGCAGAAAAACTCGATCGCGACGTCCGAGGCTTCGCTCTTTTTGCCGGAGAGATAGGAGGGGGAGGAGCGTGGAGCGCACCGCCGTCCAATGGCGGCCTCGCGCTGTGTGCCGCGATATTCAAAACGCGTGACGTACGCGTTGTTTTTCTCGTTTTTTGTTTATTCTGCGTGAAGGCACGAGACTGGCTACTAGTGGATTATGAAGGATACGGCCTTCGCAGCATGCGTGCACGATTGCAAATGGCGGCCAACGCGTCGTTTTTGCGACAGGACGACGCGAACTTCGCCGTTTTTCGCGACTTTCGCGCATTTCTCGCGTCACTGCTGCCCACTTGGAAGCATTTTTTGATAATTTCTCGTGCGAATTTCAGCTTGATATTTTCAGAAGTAATAGATTATAGTCCAAGGATGCCAATACAGCCGGAAAAAAAAAAAAAAGAGAAAATTTTCCGGAAAACCGCGACTTTTCGACCCGCGTCTCCCCTTAATTGAGGGCACGAATTAACAAGAGTACAATCAAAACAATTGAAAAGTGTTTCCTGGACCTTGTGGGGGTACTATCACCCCTGTAAAGTCATTTGCACCTAGTGGCACACTCGTAACTCGCAGACAGGTTGCATTTGGGGTTAACAGCCACCGAGCAGTAGGATTGCTCGCGAGAGTTCCCCACCATAATCATCATCATAGTTAGCGTCAATAGTGACGCTTGGTGGCGAGGCTGGGTGGCAGCACATGACACATGAGAGGCCTTTGGTGAGTGGCGGCTGGCATGAATGGTCGTCTCCCACGGTGGGTCCATAGAATGGCACCGGGGGCAACTCCTGCGAGCCCCTCTTGATGAGTCGAGCGTTCGCGCCGCCGCCTTGGCATTACCTTGCGTCTGTTTTCACGTTTTATTGAGTATATTGGAACATTGTATAAAGTTGTGTTTAGCGTGCTGTTCACTAGTGACACATTTTGATAGGGTATTGTCAATATAAAGTTAGTTCGATAAAAATGTGTTTGGTTTGTTTGCTTCAACAGCATCTACCGTCTCTGTGTGTTCCGAGAGGGGCGTTCTCATTACGAGATCCCATAACCTCTATACCTTGAAGAGGTCTGTGATTGTGGTTTGCTTTGCAGGGGCACTAAGCGAAGAAGTCAGAACTTGGCGAAGTTTCCGCAGGTAGCAAAGTTTGCACACGCAGTTCAAGAAACTATGCATTAATTCTCTAAAACGGCCAATGCATGCACAGTTTCCATCATTGTGTGGCGTGGACGCTCCTTTGCATAACCTGGGTCCTCGTGAGCTGATTCCCCTTCACCATCGAAGACTTTGGTAATGATACTGCTGTGGGTACCTGGCGGGCAACAGCAGCGCCATTGTCTATTGCAAAGTAGTTCAGACTTCACGGTGCCAAAGGGCATGTTCAAATTGACATCAGCTGGCATGACATAGCACCCTTCTTGCTCTTCGCTGACCTGGGTCAGCAGCCCACCAGATTCCCAAATAATCAATTTAGCAAGCTTCAAAACCTCCAAATTAAAAATTCCAAGTGTGCCAAAGAGCGCTAATATTAATGCTAACTAACAGACAGAATCTCTGGTGGGCCAACTTTAGAAGGCTCTTCCAAGGCTACATTGTAACTTAACAGAAGGTCCATGCCATGAATTACTCCACACAGATGTGTGAAGTTTCAAAGTGATGCTTCTTGGGCTAGCTGGAAATGTGCAGCAAGAAATAAAAATTGGCTGCTGTGTGGAGAGCAACCAGGTTGCATGCAGTGCACACCCCGAGTTGGACATGCCTGCCTTTGTATCTCTCACTGCTATACAAGTGCACATGCCACATGTCACCAAAGATAAAAAAATTATGACATCAGCTTATGCCACCAACAATGGTACAATAAAACCTCGCTAATTTATCCATTGTTAATTTGGAATTTCTGTTTATTAAGCCAAGGTGTCTTGTTTCATCCAAAACGTGCATTGTTTTATTACTGAAAGCTCTCAATAATTGAGGCAGATTCAACAGTACTTTAGTTAAGTGATACTGCATCTAACAAAAAAAAAAAACAGCCTCTAAATTTACAAAGACCACTTCTGTTTCACTTGAGAGAAAAAAAGTGGCCCATAAAAAATTTAATTGATATGGCACAGCATCATGACGCAGCTAACACTTATGTTGCAAAAGAGAACCGTACTCACCAGAGCTACGTCTGCTGGAGGGGAAGGAGCCTTCGGAGAGCGTCGCTGCACTAGACGGACTGCAGGGACTCCGACGGAGTTGAGATGAAGCCAGAAGGCAGGAGCCACTTTCTGACCTGCATCATCAGACCATAATGAATGAACTGAAGGGCACGGTTCAAGGGATGTTGCCTTGTTTTGAAGCACATAGGTAGATTTTATAGAATGGTAGCTTGGGCAAGTTGACGACTAAGCATTGACATATTTACACAGCTCGAAATGAACGAGGACCGGCAAAAGGACACCACACAGGTCCGGACATGAACCAAATTTCATTAGCGAGAATGCTAGATATATGTACACAAGATAACAACAGCACACATCAGTGCCATCACTCAACCTTCTGTACCACAGCCAGATAAGCAATGTCCTTTTTTAATAAGGGCAATTGTTGCCAGAAGTAGTTTCAAGTGTTGAAGTAGCTCGGTGGTAAAACACCCCAAGGGCCTGCCAAAGGCCCTGGTTTGAATGCCACTTTAACTGAACATAATTTTTATCACATTAGATTCCTGCTATAAGAAATTCCACTAAAATGAAATTTCCATCACAACAAATAATTTGTTTGTTTTCTCTCAACCACCCAGGGAAAACAAAGCGAAAAATGTATCACAACATCGCTTACTTTTTGTGGATATCATATTTACTCGCATAATGATTGCACTTACACAATGTTCATACGCTTAAATTTTGCCATCGAAGTTCCATTTTTTCTTCCCCTGCATAATGATGGCACTTTGAACTTGCCACAGCAATATATCATGTGCAAAGTCTAGTCTACAATATACTCTAGTGACGCGATTGCCCAAACTGCGGCGTCACGTGGATGCCACTAGGAGGCACCACTGCAACTTTTCATGCAAGCTTCGGCTGCGTTGTCGGGCCATCGCAGACTCCTGCAGAGCTGCAGCTGTAGTAACACACGTTTGCTTTCTGGTTCTTGCAAACATAAAATTACCAGGCTGGTTACTGCGTGGACATCCTGGCAAAAGCATTGGCACAGCATCAGGAACCAGTGACGGTTTTCTTCAGAGAATGCGCACTTCATCTTCATTGCTGCTTATCTCAGGTGCATAATAGCGCAGGATATATCTTGGCTTGAAAGGATGTTCGCCCACTGCCAAAGTTTCGGTCAGAGGCTTGTCAGCCTTCCAGAGGTCATGCTCCCAGCTTCTGTGGAGATCATCATCCTTAGGAGATGCAAACGACGCCTTTTGAATGCTTGGATAGCCGCTACGGTAACCTGGAGCAAAGCAGTGAGAATACGTTCTCCGCTTCGACATGTCACGAAGCTACATGTATGTTGGTGCGCGATATCTCACAAAGTTAGTGGCGGATTCAGAGGGGGTGTGGTAGGGGTCCCCACAATTCCCTTCTCCCCAAAATAAGTGTCAGCTTCCCCCTCTCTCACTTATGTGCCTGTAGTCCACCCCCTATCAACAATTAAGACTAATGAGTGAAACCACTCTGAGCAAACTTTAACAGCATTTGTGCTATGAACAGGTTTTTCTGCTCGAAAAAAATAAAAAGTCATGACCACACCCCCTCTTTGGTGTTACTTCAGGTGACTGCCCCCTCCCCCCCCCCCCCTCTAAAGAAGGGGCTGGATTCGCCCCTGCACAAAGTACAGACTACACCACGGTTCTTGCGAGGGAATGCAGCAAAGTGCACCTGCACACGTGCACAAGAGTAGCTTGTTAGAACTGGCAATGCAATAATCAGGCCTGCAAGAGACGCTCATCGTCTTCGCTTTTTCACGTGGCCCGTGTTCCACAAGAGCGAGGTACGCGTCTTGCATCAACGCACTATGTGTCACACAAGGACACTGGTGGAAAAGCGCGCACACGGACCGGGGGAATAAAGAATGCATCTCGTGTGCACTACGATTTCCCTCTAGCCATTGCTGACCCTCTCGTACTCAAGGTTTTTTTTTTTCGAACACCTGCGAATCACAAAAATGCGACATCATTATGCTTGCTGCTTAAGGAATTGGCTTTAACATGCTTCGAAACACATGCATGGGATAAAAGTGACAAGGAATAAGACGATAATAGATGTAACACAATACACGAAACAAAAGAAAAGTAGCGTATTTACTTTTGGATGTTTTGTCAGGCTGACACTATCCCTCAGGACTGCCCGTATCTATGCCTTCCCCGTGCCTTGGTCAGTGAGAAATCTAAATGCCAACACTCGCGACCCAGATTCATGGTTTCCACAGAAATGTGGGCACAAAACTTTCTTGGCGTTGCAGCTGCTCACAGTCTGGTCACTCACCGACGAACATGAGCACAAGCACAAGCAGCACGCATCACAACTCTGAAGGGCCCAACGGCACACAGAGAACAATGCAACATTCATTTTATCTCGCGCTGCTTACAACAGAAAACTCAGCATGGGATGCCCGCTACCTCGTGAAGAGTCCGATACAAGTCCTGCATCGAAGCACAGTAATGCTGTAGGGACTGAAAAGCCGACAGGAACATGCCGCCGAATGCCGGCGTCAGTTGCGCTGTGCGCCACCACAGCGTACAGCACGACTAGCGCCTTCGCTCCTTTGATGTATGCGGTAGAGCTTCCACGGTAGCCATGATGAAGTTTCTTTGGATGGCATTGGCTCAATACGCCAAACTCATGCATATACTCACGTACACACACTGAGTGACTCCCGCACTACCCGCGCTACCCAGAGAACTTGGTGATGGCGCGCGCTTGCGCACATGAAAAGGGGCAGTGGCGCCCCAAGAAATCCTAGTGGCAGTCTGTGTCATTTTGGGCTGCCAAGACAGCAGCTGCGGCCTGCTAGTCATGCCACTAGAGTATATTTTAGCTCACTAGTTGACGATCCTTCTCTTTAACCATCTGTTGAATGTTACATAAACCACTCTTATAAAGACTCGCCAAGTGAACTGCACACACCAAACAAACTCTTAATTCATGCCCAACCTTGGCAGAAATGTGCCGCATTAGGATAGTAGTAAAGAGAAAGGCTGCAGTTTTTTGCCCGTCATGTGTTTCCATTTCTGAGGCAGCTGAACGTGCTCATCTCTTTCAGAAATCAGAGCAAGCAGCACTCTTGTGAGTGGGGCACTTACACAGCAGATGTCAAGGAACTTCGCGAGGATCATAAGGCACAACGATTTCGTGGCAATTGAAGGCTGGCTGGTGCGCTGCAAGGAACGCCACAACTTCATCTGTCGACTGTGAAGCTGCAGTGGCTTGGATTGAGAAAAACACTGGGCAGCTGCTCGAAAAATACAGCACCAGGGATTTGTTCACTGTTCAGTGCAGATGAGACTGCCCTGTTATATCACATGTTGCAACAAAAAACCTTGGTTCTCAAAGGTTACTGCTGCCAGGGCAGTAAACTGAGCAAGGTCCGTGTGATCAGGCTACTTTGTGCAAAAATGTGGATGGGTTGGAAAAGGTGCTTGGCCCTCATGATCGGCAAGAGAGTGTCACCACGATGTTTCAATGGAAAGCAGCAACTCCAAGTGAGTTATGTGTTCAATCGCAAAGCTTGGATGACAAGAGAGATCTTCGCACAATGGCTGCATGAGAGGAACGAGCGGCTGGGCAAGCAGAACCGCAAGCTATGCCTCGTCCTGGACAAATGCATGGCCCACCACATTGCCGTTGTGCCCAAACACATTGAGCTGTGCTTTTTGCTGCCTAATACCACGGCAGTTGTGCAAACCCTGGAGGAAGGGGTGATCTTAGACTTTAAGTTGAGCTACTGAAAGTGCGCCATCGACAAAATTTTGCTCAATATGAGCATGAAGCGCGAGACAACGATGAATTTGTAGTTGGCGATCGAGATGCTACAGGCTGCTTGGATGGCATGCACAATTGCCAGCTGCTTCTGGCATGCCTCATTTGGCCTCAGCACAGAGAGCCCAGCGAAGATGTCGGTGCTGTCGCCAGTGAGGGTGCTGCAAGTGACCAGGCCCAGATGTCCTGGGTCACCCTCCTTGACCCCAGCGTTGTACCTAACTGCACCACTTTCTGCATGTACATTGGTGTTGATGCTGACACTGTGACAACCGAAGAGTTGTTATAAGCGAAAATTATGCACGCGATGATGGGGGTGGATAATGACAGTGACAAATGTGTCGACACCCCGGAGCCTAACGTTGGTGAACTCAATGTACCCAAGCCCACGCATGCTGGATGCGGCAGACTTGCAGCACCGTTTCTTTGCTGCTAATGATGACAGCGAGGACAGACCCTAAATGACGGCTGCAGCTGAAAAAGCTGTCATCCACCCAAAGACTGTGCAAAAATCGATTAGGGAATATTTTCCTACAAAGTAAGCCATCAGCTGATATGCCGAGCTCAGCGGGAATAAAGTGCACTGTTCTTTTTTTCATTCTGCTAGTTCCTTACTTTCCAATGGCCATTTCTCTCCCCGCTTGTGTGATTTGGCAGGGAGCACATTCTCTCTTGCTGGCTAATTGTCAGTAGAAATAAACACTGATTATAACAAACTACAGTTGAACTCATTTATAATGAATTTAAAAGTGCCACGATAAGTGATCGTTGTATCTGTAGTTTGTTGTATATGGACTCGCCCATAAAAACGTGCACTCAGGGACCAAACCGTTTTTTTTTTTTCTGTGTATTTTCATAGAAAAGTGCTAACAACCCCTCCGCTGACAAGTTAGGCCTTCCCACCCTTTTCACATGTTAAGCGACGCCCGTTTCCTCATGAATGAATTAAACCACGTTCGCAATGAACTCACGCCGTACCACTGAGGCGTGATACATCCACGTAGAACTAATCCTTTATAGCTAGTTGCGTACAGCGCGTCGCTTACACGGCTTTCGCCGTCGCATGCACGGTTGTTTGCAGTCCGCATGCGATGGTGGGTTCTTAATGCATGCTTCACTTGAGATTGTGCTTGGGTGCGGCAAGCAGTCAGCTTCATCAACACAACGAAGACTAATTTCCCAAGCAACTCGCACAAGCGACCTTGCACGAGGCGGCGGCAAACTTGCAAATGGCAGCATGACGAGCTTGTACCACCGTCACTTTGCTGAGCATGTATTCGCAAATTACTGTAGTAAGGTTGCAGCAGACAATGAGTCAAAATGGTCTGCTCATAGCCGCCCGTCACCTCGCCATTCCTCTTTTCTGATGATTATCCGTTAAGGCACCACTGCGACCACACGGAATTGTACCACTGTCACTTTGCTGAGCAGATACCCGCAAATTACTGTAATAAGGTTGTAGACGATGAGTAAAAATGGCCCGCTCATTGCCACTGGTCACCTTGCTATCACTCTCTGTTAAAGCACCACTGCAACCACATAGAATTCATTATCAATAATTGACTACTCTCCACCGTTACCGAAAGGCAGATAACCTCTTGCAACACATTGTGGTGTCGATGAGTTGACAAAAAGTTATCGTTTCTTGAATTTATGGCTTCTTGCATTCGAGCATGTTGTTGGTCAATTGTTGGTGGTCGTATATGCCGAGTTCAGCGTCAGAAAAGTTCGCCGTGTGCAAAGTACCTGCAGTCGTCATGCTACCTCCTACTTATTTTTCCTCACTTCCGTTCTGCCGGTGAAGAAACGCCTAGAAAGTGAGCAACGTAGCCCGCAGCGTCCGAAAAATGTATGCGGTGCTCGACGCGGCCAACAATATTTTCGTCGCAAATAAAAAGCAGCGACGAACGCACGAGCGCACGCATATCATATGCTTTAGAATGTCTGTTTTAACATTTTTGTTCACGCTTCGCAAGTACTATATTTTTACCATGTTGGGAAGTGTTCATTGTAAAACTAGGAGGCTTTGAAAAATGTTCGCTGTGTGTGCACTCAGTTTCAAAGGGTAGCATAGAAAACCGTAAGTGCACCAAAATATGGTCGTGGTAACCGATATATTGTTATATCTAGGAACGTTATAAGCGGTCTCTACTGAAATAGTTATAACAAAGTAATTATGATTCCCCCTTCAAATTTGTTATAACGAAGCTTTACTATACTATACCGTTTGTTTTTCTGCAATATCTGTGATAATTTTCGCCACCTTGGCAGGTGCAAGAACTTTTTAGTGAAGATATTCTGGAATCAGATAGAAAGAGGGCTTCAGAAACTGCAATTATAATTCTTCAGAAATTTGTAGTTTCATGCGCCAATTGAGAATTTGAAAATAAATCAGTTTGTGACTTCCAATTTTGCCTGTCATAACAGACCCATTCAGTGTTTACATGAAAATGTTTTTTACAACAGACCAATATCGTCTTCACCATGGAGGTCTGTTCTCATGAGGTTACTGTATTTACTCGCATAATCCTCGCACTTTCTTTCCCAAAAAACTCATGGAACGTTGGAGGTGCGATAATTACGCGGGGAAAATTATCCACGGAAACGTACAACGCAAGAAAAAAAAAAAACGGCCACAATTCGCACTTTTTCCGCCAGCAACTAAAAGCTTCGAAAAGTGCTGATACAAAGCTTACCTTTACAATGAAACTACATGTTCAACCGAAATCAAGGTTTATTTGCACAGACTAAAGTCACTCGCTAATAAGTGTCTTGGGCGAACTACTCAGAGCCCGAGTCAAGACTGCAGTCTACGTCTCTCATAGCAGCGTCATCAGAGTCATCGCCAGCTTCAGCATGGTCTCCCTCGTCGTTTTCGTGGACCACGTTGTCTTTCGTCTCGTCCAAGGCGTTGGAGATCCCAGTCTTCTTGAAGCTGCGGACGATAATTTCTGGTGAAATCATGGACCATGTCTCGATTACCCAAGAACAAAGGAGCTCCACCGACGGTTTCTTTATCTTGCCCCGGAAGTTGCGTGGTCGCCTTCGGCCATCCTTGAACGGCTTGTTCAAGGATACGTCTGGAGGCTGCAACATCGAAGTCAGACCCCCTGGAATGACAGTGAGGTCAGTCCGCAGCTCCTTCAGCTTCGCCCAAACGAAGTCGACCAGGTGACCGCGGAAGCTGTCGACAACCAGCAGCGACGGGTAACGAAGTGCTTCAAAGCGGTGTCCCCAGAGTTTTTACCCTGTCGACCATACGGTCAGCAGTCATCCACCCTTTCTCCTGTACACGTACATGTATCCAAGGGGGAAACTTGGCCTTCAGGAGGGTATTCCGCTTAAAAATAATAAATAGGGGGCAGCTTCTGCCTGTCCACTGTAACGGTGAGCATGACGGTGCACCTCTGCTTCTCGTCACCCGTCGTTCTAATATGCACACTCCGCACACCCTTCTGCTCCACAGTTGTGCTCGGCGGCATGTCAAAGTTGAGCAGAGTTTGATACGCGTTTCTAATTTGTGAAAGCAGGAAGTTTTTTTGCTCTCGAATCCTAATAACATATCGATAAAAATCAATGATCTTATCTTCGTATGCCGAAGATAGCCGTTGACAAAGAGTCGTCAGACTCCTGAGCAAGAGTCCACTTCTGAGCATTAACCGTGTAGCCCACTCGTTGCTCGCGCGGAAACCTCACGCCGGGATGCCTTCCTTCCGGGCAGTTACGCGCGCCTCATTTCTTAGCAGCTCGATCGAAACGACACACTTGTCCGCGCGTAGACTCTTGATGTAGTCCAGTAGTGCCGCCTCAACCTGTGGGTATCTCCCAGTCTTAGGCCGACGGAAGGCCTTGCGTGGCTTGTTTGTGGCTTTGAGCTGTTCATGCTGCCGTTGCCAGTAGCGCACACAGAACTCATCCACGCCGAAGTGCCTGTTGGCGGCCCTGTAGCGGTGTTCTAGAGAATGGTCGATAACCTTTAGCTTGAAAGAAGCTGTACAGCTCCTGTATCGGTTGATCACGTAGCCGCAGAAAGGACGATGCTACACACGGATCACTAGAGCGCTACCACAGAACACCACATTACTAACACTAAGCACGCATGCCGTGCCACAAGTACTGCTACACAACTTGTGGCTTGGTTTGGATTGGATTAGAGCTCCCTTCTAGCAAGTTAGTAGTTGTTCCTCCTCCCTTTTGACACAGTGAAGGCGTTTCATGCACCATAGGAATAAAATTAAATACCATAATTACTCAAATCTAACGCGCACCTTTTTTCCGGTTAGGCGAGTTCACAAATCGCACGCGCATTAAAATCGGGTGCGAAAAAAAAATGAATACAGTTATTCTATTGCCATCGGCATTCCCAAAATGGCCGCCCCCTACGTGCTTAGGGCATGGTGCGTTGGCCATTTCTGCCGATGTATTTCCTATGTGCGGCACTTCGTACGTGTGCTGAGGAGTTCGTCATCTTGTAGTTCATTAGCATCGACGGTATGGAAGGGCCGACTCCAGAAACTCGACGAGTGCCCCACGATGCCGCTTTTAAAAGAAACGTCATCGCATGTGCCGAAACAGACGGAAATCGGGCCGCATCGCCGTCGTTCGGAGTTCCCGAAACGTGTGTGTGGGTCTGGCGGAAACAAAAGCAGAAGATTATCAAAGATTCATGCAAAGGCTTCAGTGGACCATAGCAGGGTCGGTTTCCGCAAATTGAAGAGCTGCTCGCCAAGTATGTGCTTGAGCACCAAGCGGCACAACGGCCCGTGACGACAGAACTGCTCTAAGTGTGGGCTATGCAGTTAGCTTTAGAAAAAGGGCTAACGCGGAGCCAGTTCAAAGCGAGCAGGTGCTGGCTAACTAACTTTATGAAGAGGAAAGGCTTTTGTCTCCGAAAGCGAACGGGCATGCGCCAAAACTTGCCGGAGGAGTACGAAAAAAAGCTTCACAGTTTTCAGAGGTCTGTCCTAAACTTGCGGCACAACAACGGCTACCTGCTTGGACAAATCGGGAATGCCGATCAGACGCCTCTTTACTTCGACATGCCTGGCACCACAACCGTCGAGAAGAAGGGGGCGAAGCAAGTTCACATGCTGACATCGGGCCACAGTAAAACAAGAGTGACGGCAATGCTCCGTTGCACGTCAGAGTGGCACAAGCTTCCCCCATACCTCATATTTAAACGGAAGACGCTCTCGAAAGGAGTCGTTTTCCCGAGTAGTGTGATCGTGCGGGCCAACGAGAAAAATGGGTGCGCGTTGCAATCGGTGTCTTACCTTTTTTTTTTTTTCGTCGTAAAAACCGAGTGCGCGTTACAATCGAGGGCGCGGTAGAATCGAGTAAATACGGTAACAAATAAATAATTGGTATATGGTAAATTTGTATAAGTAAACACGGTTTACTGTAACGGATCTGTATAAGCATTCTTTTTTTCCGCAAGCCATTGTCGAATGGAATATGTTACCAGCTGATTTAGTTGGTCGCAAGACAGCGGATTCATTTTTAGGCACTGTGCCCCGCCCTACCGCAATAATGCTTAAGATGTTGCAGTGGGTAGTTTTCCAAATAAATAAATAAATAAATAAAAATAATCTGCAGCCTGAAACTAACTTCAAGTTTTCGGCATATTTCCTTTGTTGAAAGAGAGAAAATACGTTCACTTAAGTGGCCATGTGGCTGGTCAAAGTTCAATGCCTGTATTTGCTGGGGCCAAAAGGCGAGTCACAATCATAAACTCTTCACAAATTTTGTGGTCCATAAACTAAATTCCACTGCTACGAAATTCCACAACAGTGAATTTTTCTTTGCGTCCCACCAATTTCGTTGCAGCGGGATTTGACTGTACTTATTTGTTTGTACCTCTCTTAATTTTCCCTCAGAATCAATGCTAAATTTTGGCGCACCACCAACAGTGCCGACAAATGCTAGCAATGAAATTTCAGTGAAACAAAGTCCTTTCACAACCTCACATTAAAAAATCCCTCATGTGCCCCACCTGCTTCCTGGAGGCGGGCCTCCACCGGTGCGCTTGCAGCGATGGGCTGCGTGTTGTGCTTTCAGCTCTGGAGGCAACAACGCTGCTACTCGTCGTGAATCTGAGGCTGACCGGTCCCTGGTGGAACCCCCCCACGAGGCAGCCCCCGACAGGGACGACGAAGGGCTGGCGCTCAGGGGCGCCGAGGGATGTCGTCCAGCAAGTGGAGACCGTGCTGCGGCAGACGACGCATTGGCACGCAGGTTGCTAGGGTCGCTGAGGGAGAGGCGACCACGCTCACATGTTGCCAGGCAAAGCTGCTGACGCTTTTCCTGCACACAAATGGAGGAGCACAAGTGAACGGCCAGGCTGTGGTTCTGTCTTAGCACGCTATAAAAAGATTCAGTACGACCATGGGAACACAAGCATTACCTGCTGACCACTCATGTTTAAAAAGAAAACACCACAGTGCTTGGCTGTAAGTGAGGCAATGATGTTTAGCCTAAACATATTGAGCATACGTATACATAAGCATACATGCACACTATAACACAGACTAGACCTGTGTGCTGGCCGCAAAAACACAGGCGGCTGCAAGCCAGTGTTTGCACTTTCGGCGGCAGCATGGTAATGGCAAGAGGTTCACCAAATCCGCAGCGGCACGGTGCATGCGGGGAGGGGGTGGTGCGGTTTCCATTGGAGGACCGAGAAATGTGGCCCTTAAATTAAAAAAATGTCTGTTTCCTCGAAAGGGCAAAAGAGTGAATGCAATAGCAACATTTGGTGTTGTAAAGTACTAAGGCTAGCAGCTACCTGGCAACACGCTGGAATTTTCTTCCCTTCAGTGGCCGGAAGAACACGCTGCGAGACAGACGTGAAAAAATCGGTCAGAGACCAATTTTCCCGCCCCACCGTGGCAAGAAGCCAAAAGGTGGTATGCCTGTTTGCTTCATCGGCTTTTCTATCTCTCAAACCATGTGATGTAAACAACCAGCTGCAAATTCAACATGGCCGAAAAAGCATCGGCAGTGGATCACGTCAGCACTATTGCGAACTACCCGCGCAGCACGTCAAAGCTTACGGCCTTGACAAGGATGCATTCATTGAAAGCCTGGTTTAGATTACGATCACTGAGGAACACCGGAAGCAAAAGAAGGTACCGCAGAAGCAAATCGGCATGCCCTAGAGTGTGTTAGGATTAGGTTGTTGTAGGTAACCGGTGGATCTAGTCTTGCATAATTTGCAGGCAATTGCCCCACTCGGTTTCCTCTTTGATTATTGTATCTAATGTCCTTTCATTTGTTTTTAACTAAGCACGGTCAGGCTCTTAAAACGAAAAATCCCGCATAGCGCGACGTAAGCCTACATAAACCGGCAGCCTCCGTGCTATTCCACATGCAGTATTGATCCGGTACATTATCTCACTGCACCATACCCCAAACACAATTGTCACTCATTACCAGTCACATGCAAGGTCTGTAGCATTTGAAAATTTCAAAAGAAGTCGCGACACCTGTTTCTTAAAGTGTCTTGTCTCGCTTTCGCACTGCTGGCTGTGGTTGTAGCATTTCAAAATTTCAAAAGAAATTGCGACACCTGTTTCCTAAAGTGTCTTGTCTTGCTTTCGCACTGCTGGCTGAATCCGCAGCCGCTGCTCTGTTTGCTCGTATCGTTTCTGTAGGGGTATCTTCCGAAATAACATTTGTAAAGGTGTAATCTGTGTTTTTTTTTTTTCAGTGCTTTGCATGCATACTTAGAACTCAGTACGAACTTCAGTACACTGGAAACGGGCAAAATGAAATTAATTCTCAAGCGGCAATGGCAGGGGGGGGGGGGGCAGTACAAATGTGAATGTTTTTGACGGAAGTGGACGTGGTTTTCCGCCTGCTCAGGTCCAAGACCGATTTTTTTCATGTCAGCTTTGCGGCGCGGTTTCCCGGCATCTTCAGCAGTGAAGCGAGTGAATTTATAATGAGTTTGGTCGCTCTCACTCTTTTTCATGTAAACTGTGAACGGGCCGCACCAGCAGCATGAGTGAAGAAATTGCGGCACTTTATTGAGAAACGGTGAAGAATGAAGTTTCAAAAGAACATCACAGACTTTATATATATATATATATATATATATATATATATATATATATATATATAAACACACACACATACACATATATACCGTATTTACTCACGTCATCCTCGCACTCGCATAATTCTTGCACCCCCCACCCCCCCCAACACCCAAGACATACACGATTTCTTTTTTTTCCTCGAGTAATTATCGCATCCCCGAAAACTGCTGCAATAATGTCGTCTGCTCGTTCCAGCCACTGATGATAATAGTGTGCGCCATCTGGCACCATCTTTTAAGCATCAAGCGTAGTACTGCACAGAGATTCAATCCAATCCAAGCCAAGCCGAAGTGGCCAGCGCGCGTTGCAGCGTGTTTTATATGTTTTGTCGGTAATCTTGGCACGTTATGGGGCGATACTGAAGCCACACGGCTGCTTCAAGTTGCAAGTGATAGATCATGCGCTATACAACGGCAACAGGGCCGCCCGTAGGCCCTTCGGAGCCTACGAGTTTTGTGTTCGCTACTGGTGACGGCAGCTGAAAGCCACCAAGACGCGTTGGGCCTGCGATGTGCCTAAAACTGGGATTGATGGTAAACTTTATTTCTTCAGAAGGAAACTGCGGACGATTCTATTAAATAGCCATCACCAATACTGAGGTCCTTTGCTTACCTTTTGAGGGCTCCTGTTGAGCGCCGACAGCTACCGCTACGCCCGCAATGCCCACAAGCTTCGCGTATGGTATTCTAATTCTCGACTATTTGCTTCCACTTTTTGTGTCTCAAATAAATCTTGCCTTGAGTTGAACCTCTCCTTTTATTGTTGAGGTAAGTTCTAATTAGTACTTCTTAAAGCTTGCTGTAAGTTGCTGGTGTGATAATACCGATTTGCGGCCACTTCGTTTTCTTTTTCGCTCTCTGTGTTTTCGTGAAAAGTTTTCCCCGCGTGATTCTCGCACCCCCCAACTTTGCATTGGTTTTCTGGCAAAAAAAGTGCGAGGATTATGCGAGTAAATACGGTACAGTATATATATATATGCAGAAGAATTACTTGGGTCGCCGCAAGGTTATAAGTATAAAAGTAGATACACTTTCACATAACAACTTGTTTATTCAGCCGTCATTTCGACGGGAGCCCCGTCTTTTTTTAAAAAGATGGGGCTCCCGTCGTAACGTCGGCTAAATAAACAAGTTATGTGAAAGCGCATCTACTTTATACATTATATATATATATATATATATATAACAAACTATCACTTAAAACGAACGAATTCCGCGTGACCGTGAAAATATACATTGGTTCAATGGCACAAAACCGCACTTACAACGAACGTCTCCGAGCGCCGCTGATCGGTTACAGCGAATGGAGTCAGCGATCTGCCAATTTCCCAAGAAACCAATTTTGACCACCGATCAGGCATCAGCGAGGTGCCCATATGTTCTTATTGTTAAACGCCGACCCTGCCTTCGTGACCCTCTAGTTGCCGCTCTCCCTAATCCATGGACGAAGGAAAGTTGTTTCCTTCCTCTATGCCCCCCGACTGCTTTTTTACCCACTCCTCCGTCCTTTGTCCCCAGCTACTCTGAGCATCCCGCATCACCAGACGAGGCCCGTCTTTTTACACTGCCACCGATCTTTCGAAGACCGGTCGGCCATCTACCCTTTTTTTGATCGCTAGTACTGTCGTTGGCATCGCCAGCCTGGAGTGACCAGACCATTGGCCAACATCGTTGGCCACCGACTTTATCTGATAGTCTGCATCTAGTGCGTGCGCGTACGCTACCCCACCGGCTCTGATAATTTGCGATTCGTTTCGTGTTTAGGACTTGTTCTCGTTCACTTCGCACTCGGCTCAGCATACTTTCCACGCACGTGCGGAAGCGCGAAAATGGCTATAAGTTTGCACGGAACGAATCGCGAAATACCGATATTTGTGAGGCCACGCAAACCCGCCGGCGCAAGATAACGATTTTTTCACCACGGCTGCCGATTCTTCGAACACCGCCGCGCGCACCAATCCAGGCCGCCATGCTTTGACTTCCGCGCACGCAGGCACTCTTTCCAAGTTTTTCTACGTGCGAGTTTCGCGAACCTTTCAAGCAACCTGCCTCCTTCTCGTGTGTTTTGGTTTTCAAGGTCGTTCTCCCGCCGCATCCTCCCCTCTCTTTATCGCAACTTCTTGCCCTTCTCTCGCAAGTCTCCTCTGCTCTCTTGATCACAACCCCTTTGCCCGTCTCTACCACTCCGCGACGCCTGCCACGCTGGCGCGAATTAGTTTTGTTTTCTGACTGGAAACGGGCCCAGAGCTGTTCCACGCGTTCTGGCATGTGTGTCGCGTGTACGTGTCTTGCTCGCTCTTGGTGTGCGTGTATGGTCATGATGGCCGAAGGGAGGACTAGCAGGCCCTTTGCTGCCCCTTAACAAAACGTCGAAAGTGTGACCGCTTGGCTTGAGCATAATCCGCGCATTAGGTGCCGCGTTGCGGAGCGCTTGCTCATAGCTGTTGACCACTTGGCAGCAAACTTGCCGCTTCCAGCATCCCGGTATTCTGCTGTGGAGATGGTGAATATTTTGTGGGCGGCAGTGACGGCTACATGCGCGCGAAACTGTTTTCACGAGGCCGACTTCGTCGACATCGGGCCCGATGCCGAGCCTGAAGCTTCCAAACTGCGGCGGCGATTTGTGGCAGCGCATCGTCGACTCCGACCTGGGAGAGCTGGTGGGACATCTGTAACGATGGTTTAATTACGGCCGATGATGATGCAGACCCTGCGAACCATGCACGGATTGGGGCATCGTGAATGATGTACGTGGTGAGAGCGATTTGGAGGATTTGGACGACGAAACTTTGGAGCCAGAGCCTTATGCAGCTTATGCTACAGACCTCTGTGAAAGAGCACACTGCCGCTTTAAACGAACTCGAGACCGCCCTTATAGCTTGTGCTCTTCGAAACACGTGCATCACGAACTTTTTGGGGCAAAAAAGTTTGTGTTTTCACTCGCAACTTTTTTTAAAAGCTGCTGTGTTTCATTTACTACGAACTTCAGGATACAGCGAACGGATGACGCGTCACGCTCAGGTTCGTTATAAGCGGGCTCGACTGTACTGTCGAGACTTCTCGAGGAGAGAAAGATACAACATTTGACGAGCTCTTCTCGATGTATCTGTCTAAAAGAGATGCCTGCAGTCCATTTTGGAAAGGCACATACAGTTACTTGAAAGAGCGCTAGTGCTTAATGTTTGCTCTTAATCACATAAATGCACCTAACCTGCATCAGACGCAAGTGGATGAAATGTACGGAAACAGGAACTTGTCATATGTGAACTTGCATATGAATGTGTCCCACATGTGTGAGAGAGACGCACGGAATGCGTGCCCATCATCACTAGCGTGTTATACAGGCGGCTACACTAAACCTTATTCGATGGCTTACGGGATCAAAATTTATGCATGGCCTCCGAGATGTACGCCCAAAAGTGGATGTCTGGGGGCTGTGTTTGTTGAGTTGACGTACGTTCCATCTAGGTCATCAGTGTCAGGAGATTTGAAAGCTTTCATGACCTCAAAATGACAGTGCAGAAAAAGAACCAGAAACAGGAGGCGCGCTAGTCTCAGTACTACAGCTAAGCAGCTGCAGCCAAAATGGACAGTCCCCAAAGGGGACACATCAAGAATCATTCCACAGCCATAAATGAAACAGGAAGATGCTCAGAACTGAACAGAGCATGGTGCATGAGAGGGGGAGGTTGCTTTGTTGACACTAGACGTGTATGCTCGTAAAGAATCATGCTCCTCGGCCTCGGTAAAGTTGGCTACTGGTGCTGTCGCGGAACATGTCTCCCTAGCCCTGGCCATGGTCGACCGCTCCTGCACCAACGCTCTTACAGACTCACGGGTGGCCATCAAAGCTTTTGAATTGGGTAAACTAGCATGAGAGGCTGCCTCCATTCTGAAAAAAAGAATGAACTTTGGCACCCACTTTATCTTTTGATTTCCCGCTCATTTTGGTGCAGACGTTCAGACCATACCTACCATCAAAGAGCTTGGTCATAACCGTGCAGGAGATCGAGATCTCACGCGTGGCAGTGGCACTGAGGCTTTATGGGGACAGGACGAAATCTAGCTTAATGATACACTCCTTAATTTCAATGAAATAACCTGACACTATCGGGTTAGTAGAAGTGCCTATCCTCTTCATCACCTGAAGTTAGATAGCTCTCAGTTCGTCACACTTAAAATGCTCTACACATGATCATTCCCATCGCAGGGCTTTCTCAGCTATATCAGCTATAGTTATCCGAACTGCAATGAAACTTATTGTTTCTTAGAGCACATGCTTTGGCAACGCCCCGCATTACCTAATGGCCCTCTATCCAGTGAAATTTATTGGGAAGAGGCCTCCAGAGCTCATCGCTCGAGACACAACTCCACTCAATCCAGAGAGCTTAAGAAAGGGCGGAAAATCACGGTGTCCCAGCCTCAACTTGGATGCAGCCAGGGATTTCTGCAGGGACCCAATAAAGGTTCTCGCGAAAGCTTCTCAGGATCAAATAAAATTCTTTGTCTGTCTGCCTGGTCCTCCCTCTGTCTGCGTATGTACATTCAGAGTGTACGAAGCTATTAAAATCACATACAGACAAGAAAATCACTGCAGAGCTTGCCACAAGATTCAAAAAATTTCACGTACAGTGGCTAATTTAGGCACCAAATGGCAATGAACCCCATGAAAAAATATACATACAAATGACTGGTAAAAAGGAAAATCCTTTACTGTTACATCACGAAATATGTATAAGTTGCAAGCTGTTCTAATCTCCCACAAACACCCTCTAAAATGTCCAGGCATTAGCTTCCAGATGTTTCGTTTCAATGCAGCAGCACACCTACCAGGTGCTTGCTTCTTATACATGAATGATCTAGCAAAGCAGGATCGCTGTGATACAGTTCAATAGGCGACATTTTGCCATTAACATCAACAAATGAGTTGTGAAAGTAACTATTGCAACTAAGAAACTGACAGACAATTTAGCCCTGAAAAACATAGAAGACATTATCCTTCCTCAACTGTGTTGCTGAGTGATAATCACTTACATTGAAAGGAATTGAAGTGAACTAAATATCGCTCTTTCCTTAGGTGGAATGCAAAACCACAACTTTCGCATTATGCATTCGATGCTAGAAGATTGTGGGATTGAATTGAATTGACAAAAAATGGTTATTTTTCATCCACCTTTCAATTTATATGAGAATCAAATTCTCAGCTGTGAATGTCCCCAAGCAGTGAGATAAAAAGAGGGGAGGGGGCATTGCCCACAGCCTAAAATGGACACGATTTCATTTTCTCTGGCAAAATATAACCAACCCAAAGGGTCATGCCGGCTCAGCAGCTTGTCAAAGGGTTGTGCAGTCTGCTGCATTGTTCCATCTATTATTAGCTATGCCCACTCCTGAAACGAGCAAGACAACTAAAAGTATGCTCGTGCGCAAATTTCCACGCTTCTTTCTTAAGCTTTGTTATTGCCCCATTACACGTATAAATGCTACCTTGTGCAAACTGCACCAAATGACCAAGTACCATTGAGATAATCGTAGAACTTTTGATGTGATTACACACACACAACGCAAACATTACAGTTTCTTCTAGAACTTATGTGGCCACTAGCGATAACACTGGAATATTCGACAGCACATGTATAAATGCCGAACCCTGTCATCACTTGTCGGTTGATCAACGGCCGACGCTCTGTTTGCCACTATCAGTGCCAGTGTGAATTGCTGTAGTCTGACGTTCACTTTTCCGGCCACAAGTTCGACCAAATAAAACTGGTTCTGTGGCAACGAGTAACAGTTCAACACGGTTAACTGCTATAGAGATAGCCCAAGCTTCCTCCATAGCAAGGTTGAGAGGTCAGAGCATACCATTATTGTCTCTGTCGGATAAACACCTAGGTATGCTGGTTTCAGGAATTTTGTAAGTGAGAAAAGAGAATTTTACGCATCTAGGTATGCTGGTTTCAGGAATTTTGTAAGTGAGAAAAGAGAATTTTACGTCGCTTTGCTGTTGGGCATAGTGCATGACCCCTTCTATATTTACACAATGTTTTCCTGGGAATAAACGTCCGTTCAGTTGTGGTCCGAAACCCACCTTGGTGTTCTTCCCTGGTGCCTTCTTGCCAGCCTTGCCCTTGGGGGTGGTGGCAGCAGCCGAGGAAGCCTCAGGCGGCTGAGCCCCTGGCTCAGCTGGTCCCAGGCTGAGCTGTCCGAGGCCGTCCTTCAGTAGAGCCGCCGCTGTCGATGCCTGACCAGAGTCCAAAGCCACCTCTTGAGGTCCCTGTCCACTCTCCATGCAACACTCATGGGCCTGCATGCCACCAGAGGAGACAAGACAATGGAGATGGCTGCAATTATGCACAACTTCGACTAGCAGCGAAAGATACGCTGCCCGGTCGAGCTGTTGAGAGTGCGTGTTGCCGCAGAGCTTGGCAGTGACTTACGTTTTAGTTTTGTTTTGTTGAGGGGCAGATAGTGGACTAGAAAGATGGTTATCCCCAAACATTTACTCATGTGGCACAATGTGCGAGTAAACTGCAAGAGCCAAGTTTCAGCAAGACAACTGTTGTGGTAAGCAACACATCACCGACCTGACCGTCAGTTTAAATGCAAATGAAACTGCAGGACAAGTTTCGGACAAGCCGTCTTGTGAGCAGTTTTTGAGTGTAGCTTTCCTTTCCTGACCAAAAAAAAAAATTGCACGCAAATACAAAGTTGTTGTTAAATATAGTAGTATGCTTGTATAACATGTTCTTTTATAATCAGTAATTATGGAATACATAGCAGGCAATTTGTTACTTATGTGAAGTTTGAAAAAGCACATTTCAGTATTGTCCGCTTCACTGGCAGATTAAAATGAAGCGAACTCATGAATGCAGTTTTGCAGCAAGACAATGCACTGTTGCAGTCAAAGCAGCCAAAGAGCAAATAAGGAGGCAGGTATGCTCTCCCATCTACATGCTAGAAAGCTGTTGCACCCAGCCAACCAAGGCATCATGGAGCGACATCTCTCATCATAAAACTGAATGCCGCCTCTTTTATTATGATTAGTCACACTACAACTATTGCTTATTGCTTGGCGAAAGCCTCTTTCATGCTCTGCCAAACAACCTGGTCTTGTGCTGGCTGCTTCCAAGTTGTACACGCATAGCGACGCGCCCACCGCAAGCCTGCCTACGACACTGCAGCAGGCCATACGCACGGAAATTTGTGATGTCCTCCCTACAGTGCAGGCCCCTTACCCGTGCACTTCAGTAGCGCCTAATCTCTCAGCTGTCGGCTACGCACCACCTGCACCACCTTCACCTCTCAGCTACGCAGCTGTGGTCGCGCGGCCCCCACCGCATCCAGTCGCCTTATCAGCTCCACCTCCTCCGGCCTCGCCTCCAGTTTACAGGCCCTCACCTCGCTTTTTCCATCGATCTAATGAGTGGCGCACTCAAGACAATCGTCCTATCTGCTTCGCCTGTGGCATCGCTGGCCACATTGCACGCTTCTGCCGCCGTCGCCCCACACCTGCAAACGCATACTTCGGAACTCCTACCTACGCGCCGCAGCAGGCCACCGCATCTGCATATGAACAGAGGCACTCAGACTCGGATCGCCGCCCATCAACTGCTCGTTTCCCATCCCCTCGTCGCCGGTCGCCATCGCCTATGCGTCGTCGACCACCTCCTGAGGAGGGAAACTAATCAGTGCAGTTCCGGAGGCAAGAACTGCAACTTGTGCGCAATTCCCAAGGCCTCCGTTTTCGCCGAAAAATGTTGATGTCGATGTTGAGAGAGTCGCCACATTAGCGTTAATTGATACCGGGGCCGCCGTTTCTGTGATGGACGTCAAATTTTGTCGGAAACTGAAGAAAGTGACCACATCTCTCTGTGGCATGGTGCTGTCCACGGCTAGCGCGCAACGCATTCATCCCTCGGCTCTGTGTACGGCGCGCGTCGTCATCCAAGATGTTTTGTACGTCGTACAGTTTTTTGTTCTGCCATCTTGCTCTCATGACCTTATCCTCGGTTGGGATTTCTTATCAGGTCATGAAGCTATCATCGATTGTTCCCGTGCCGAAGTGTCCCTTGTGCCAACATATGAATTTCCACCACCCGACCGGTCTCCTCGGCTCTGCAAACTCATCGCTGACGACGACATCACCTTGCCCCCGGAAGCTTCGGTCCCTGTAAGCCTTTCATGTGTGGCGCAACCCGACGCCACGGTGGTGTTTACGCCATCTCCTGTTTTTACTGAACGCAAGGGCATCGTTCTCCCATTTGCCGTTCTTACAATTGCATCTGGTTTAACCGTAATGCTGGTTACCAACCACTGCAACTACCCCATCAGCTTACTTCGTGGTGAAACGTTGGGATATGTGCAACCTGTCAACCATATCGATGATATTATTCTTCCCGACAAAACGCCATGTCACATTGCCGCAATAACTCATGCGTCTGAACCATCAAGTTTGTCAGCCTTCGACAATGCTATTGACGCAGACCTTCCCCTCTCGCATCGCCGCCAACTTGTTGCTCTCCTTAACAAGTTTCGCTCTTCTTTCGACTTTCAAGAACCTGCTCTGGGCCGCACCACGACTATCACTCATACTATTGACACCGGCTCACATTTGCCTCTGCGACAGCGTCCTTACCGCGTTTCCGCCGAAGAGCGCCGCGTCATTACAGAGCAAGTAGACGACATGCTTAAACGTGGAGTGATACAGCCTTCTCAAAGCGCTTGGTCATCACCTGTCGTTCTGGTCAAGAAAAAAGATGGCACCGTTCGATTTTGCGTGGACTATCGCCGCTTAAACAAGATTACGAAGAAAGATGTCTACCCGCTACCACGAATAGACGATGCTCTTGACTGTTTCCAAGGCGCCGAGTACTTTACATCCTTGGATCTGCGTTCTGGGTATTGGCAGGTGCCAATGGCTGAATGTGATCGCCCTAAAACAGCCTTTGTAACGCCAGATGGTCTATATGAGTTCAAAGTGATGCCATTTGGGCTTTGCAACGCACCTGCCACATTTGAGCGCATGATCGATACCATCTTGCGTGCCCATAAGTGGAAAACTTGCTTGTGTTACCTGGACGACATCGTAGTCTTTTCGTCTGATTTCCCGACACATCTTGTTCGCCTCCACAAGATTCTGACGTGTCTAACTTCTGCGGGCCTACAACTTAACTCCAAAAAGTGCCACTTCGCAGCACGAAAACTAACCATCTTGGGACATGTCATCACAAGAGACGGTGTTCTTCCGGATCCCGATAAGCTTCGGGCTGTCGCTGACTTCCCGTTGCCCACATCACTGAAAGCTCTAAGAAGTTTCGTCGGTCTCTGCTCGTACTTTCGTCGCTTTGTGCCCAACTTCGCGTCCATCATCGCACCTCTAACAAGTCTGCTCTCCAACAGCAAAGGTATATCTGCATGGTCACCTGCATGTGACGACGCATTTCGCCAGCTGCGCCGCCTGCTGACCTCACCACCCATTCTTCGTCACTACGACCCCGCTGCTGCCACAGAAATTCACACCGATGCAAGTGGCATCGGTCTTGGTGCAGTTTTGGCACAACGGAAAGGCACCCAAGCCGAATACGTAGTCGCCTATGCAAGTCGCGCTCTCAAGAAGGCTGAATTGAATTACTCCGTGACAGAGAAGGAGTGTTTGGCCATAATCTGGGCCTTGACGAAGTTTCGCCCGTACCTTTACGGCCGCCCTTTCGACGTGGTAACAGACCACCACGCTCTATGTTGGCTGTCCACATTGAAAGACCCGTCCGGACGCCTGGGACGTTGGGCACTTCGATTGCAAGAATACGACATCCGTGTAGTATATCGTTCCGGTCGCAAGCATGCAGATGCCGATGCACTTTCGCGATCGCCTTTGACCCCAGATGTGGCTTCTCTGTCACCACTTTGTACCACCTTGTCACCAATAGACACCACTGACATGCTTTCGGAGCAGCGTAAAGATCCATACCTTGCATTGTTACTCGACTACCTTACCGATCCGTCGGCTGTCCCTTCCACGAGAGCGCTACGCCGACAAGCAGCCCACTTTTCCGTGCGAGACAGCATTCTGTACCGCCGCAACTACATGCCTGGTGGTCGGAAGTGGCTCCTTGCTGTCCCAACTCATATGCGCTCCGACATCTGCATGAATTTCCATGCAGACCCTCAAAGTGCTCACGCAGGTGTCCTGAAAACCTACGAAAGGCTGCGCCAACGATATTACTGGCGAGGAATGTATCGCTTTGTCCAGAAATACGTTCAGTCTTGCACCACTTGCCAACAGAACAAGACACCTCCGCGGCACCTTACTGGCATGTTACAGCCGCTCCCATGCCCGGCTCGCCCATTCGACCGCGTGGGTATCGATCTCTATGGTCCCCTCCCATATAGTCGCTCTGGAAACCGGTGGATTATTATCGGCGTTGATCATCTGACACGCTACGCTGAGACTGCAGCTCTACCAGCAGCGACCGCCCACGAAGTTGCACTCTTCATTCTCCGCAGCTTCATTCTCCGCCATGGGGCTCCACGGGAATTACTCAGTGATAGGGTTCGAGTGTTCCTGTCGGAGGTCATCCAAGCTATTCTCGCTGAATGCAACATCATCCACCGGAAATCTACCGCATACCATCCACAGACGAATGGTCTCACTGAACGGTTCAACCGCACACTTGGCGACATGCTGAGGATGTACACCTCCTCCGACCACACTAACTGGGACGCTGTCTTGCCTTTTGTTACCTTCGCTTACAACACCGCGACGCAAGCGACTACCGGTTTTTCCCCGTTCTTTCTGTTGTACGGCCGCGAACCATCCCACCCACTCGACACCATACTCCCGAACCGCCCTGATGTATCGGAGTGCTCCCCGCTTTCGGAAGTCACCAGATACGCTGAAGACTGCCGTCAGTTGGCTCGGTCTATGACAAGTGAGGCTCAAGGTCTACAAAAAACCCGGCATGATGACGCTCATCACATAGCGCCTACGTTTCGTACTGGCTCCCTCGTGTGGCTTTGGGTGCCCCCGCACGTTCCTGGCCTGTCTTCTAAACTTCTGGCCCGGTACCATGGTCCATACCGTGTCATTGACGCAACCTCACCAGTGAATTACATCGTCGAGCCCCTAACACAATCGCCAGATTTGCGCCGTCGAGGACGCGAGACCGTACACGTCGACCGTCTCAAGCCCTACTACGACCCTCTCATTGTGCCTACTCCCTGAGTCGCCAGGATGGCTACTCTTCAACCCGGGGGGTATTGTAGTGGAGCATACGCACTAACGTGTATGCGCCTTCCAAAGAGAAG